GAGAATTGTGTGAACACAAATGGCTCCAAATCTTAATACAAACAAGTACATGTCGTTACTGAGCCATCAGGAGCTGAGGTAATTGGCTTCTCATCACTCTATCCTGGACTGTTGTTAAAAGATCACCCTTTTTGTTTCAAATGGATTTGGATAAACAAAAACACTGTAAAGTCTGTGCTAAATGAATCAACAGTGTAATTACTTTGGATAGCTATCTGTAGAAAAATTCTAATCAAAAACAGGATTACTACTCAGAAATCACATGCCCTCTGAAAGTTTCGAGAGCCCTATTCCTGAAGACCTCTTCCCAATACAAGCTACCAATGTGAGCCACCACCTCAACATTCTTTCCACCCTTTTGACTGAATCCCATTTAAACTGAACTACTTTCCTTTTTGACTGGTGCTTTATTGTAATTGTTTTTGGTTGGGGTTTAAACAACATCAGGCCTGAAAAAATAAGATTTTTTCCCATCTCTCTTCTTCCTGAGGAGTTTATACTAGAAACATATTACCAGTAAGAGAGATTGTGAATAAATCCCAAAGACAATATTAAAGTGGTGCAGGTTGTTTTAAATAAAATCAATAAATTAATGTACTCAGCTAATGAAGTCCTGTTATGTTGCTTTTTCAAGCTTGGTCTTTGATTCCTTCCCTTTCTCAGAAACCTGATTACTCATTCTTACTTTCCCATGGCTGGTGTGAGACAGTATTTCAAATTCCTTTTGTTCTTTTTAATCGTATTTATTTTCTCTATTAGATATTGTGGTGAGCTTTCAGCTCCAGTCTTTGAAGCTATTTTCTGACATTTTCAGGGCCTATCTGTAGACAGATGGAAAGATCACCAAGAATCTCTTAGCTCTTTCTATTATGCAGTAATTATTTTTCTTATCTGTTTTCCTGGGCATCTCCTACTTTAAACAAGATACCTTAAAAAAGAAGGATTTTAAATTGACTGCCATGGTGACAAGGCAAACAGGCGTACAGAAATATTCAGCCTATACACCATCGAAAATGTTAGGAAAAAAAAAAAGATGTAAAGAACAACTTTGGGAAAAGAAATAGGTAAGTGCCAAAATTTAAGGCTGTTAGCCATATTAGCCTTTCTCTTTTGATGAGGCTTTCTTTCCCTTACCTCCAGTGCAGACTGAGATAATATAAGTATAAACTATATTTAATATAAAATAAATATTTTATATAATATATAATAAATATAAACTAATCATGTGGCTTGGAAGCATATTTTTGTAATCAAATGTCTTGGCAATAAAAATAAAGAAAACACTCAGTAGCTAGCATGTAAGGATATATAAAATATTCTAATAACCACAGGAATGATTTGGAAAGATTCTCTCCTTCCTGTCCTTGTGGAAGTACATTTTATATACTGGAGGTGACCAAGACTAAATTATACTAGCTTTGGGAACACAGCTATTTTCACTTTATTTTGTTTGACTCTTTGAATTCAATCTCAGATATAACAAAAAAACCACCTATCGAACTGCTTATAATGTATGGATTTCTCAAGATAATTGGATTATATATAGATTACATTCCAACCATATAGTGTGTCTTTCAAGCAACTAAAGAAGATCTGTTTAAAGGAAATTCATGTAATATATCACTTATTGACAGAAAAAAGATATATTGCCTGGAGAAATCATCAGAGAAAAGATATTACTGCATAGCTGAAAAGAGATAAGTCATAATCATGAGGGAATAATGAGTGATAAAACTGTCTAGGAAGAAGACAATTGTTCCCTATAGGGAAGACTATTGTAAGAATGGAGGAAAAGAGGACTTATCATCAAACAACAACAACAAACTTTTCAGGCTTTGGAAGGAAGTCAGATTCTGTTGGTTTCTCAGACAGAAGGAAAACTCAGACTGCAGTTAGCTCACTTCAGTATTTCTGTTTGTCAGAGTTAACATCAGAAAATGACTGAGGAGGTGGAGAGACAGGAGGTCAGGTAGTGTGGGCATCGAGAGGGATGGAAAGATAAAAGAACTTGCAGCAGTCAAAGAGGCAATGCTTGTCTGATGAGGATGCCATGTCCTTTCAAATAGAAAAGAACAGCACGATTTTAAGATGCCGTTTTCAAAAGACATTGCCTCCTTCATAGTAATAATTCATAAGTCAGTAGACTTAAAAAGGGTGATTTCTAAAACGTCAGAAATAGATGAAGCCTTGACTGCAAAAATAAGATTTTACCCTTGCTGCTTGACATAGAATGCTGCATAATACCAGGCAAATCACCTAAAATTAAACTTCTCACAGGTGGCTGCTAATTGAATGGTTTTCATTTTCTGATCTTGACTTGGGAACCCGGGATCTGGTTTGCTCCAAATTTACAGCTGTGGATCATTAAAGACTCTGAAGTTATTTAAGGACAAGTACAGCCAACTTTGGCTACTCTCCATTGCCTGGAATGGAGCCACCTGAGGCAGACAGACAGAGAGACAGACTGACTGAATCAACCTCTAAGAGGAATGTTTAATCCTAATTATAAAGTTGAGAAACTGAACCTCAAAGACAAAAGTAAAACCTGGCTAGGCAATTTTCATGCTTTTGTGCTCTCTTACATCCCAGCTAATAAACTAGCTCTGGAAAGGTCAGCCCTGACGTACATGAAGATGTCACATGCTAACTCCACTCTGACCTTCTGCACTGCATTCCTCAAAAATTAAACACAGAAGAGATAGGGGTAAGTGTTTGCAGGGGGTGTAGGATGAATATTACAGGCAAGAAGAGGAAATCAGTGTTTTCAGAGTAGGAATGAGCAGTAGGTCAAGACTAAGGTAAAAATCCAAATGTCAGGCAACAAAGACAAAAAAGTATATTGTTCTTTGTGTGAGCACCCTTCATCAGAATAAATGGGGGAACATTTCCAGGGAAAAAAAGTGGTGTCCAATATAACTGTAGTCCTCATACACAATCATGGGAGCCATTTCAAGTTATAAGTCTGTTTTGGAGATGACAAAAGTGATTAACTACTTGCTGAAGGTGCCTATCCCAGGTACCTAAAAAGTAACTTAAATTAGATTTCTAATTTTAAAACAGCTAAAAAGATATAAACTTGATAAAACTGAAAGGAAAAGGAGTTTGGGGTACATGGTCAACCTCAAGTCTAAAATTCCCTTAATTCTGCACACCTGAATTTTCAAACATTAACCCCATTTAGGTAGATTTTCAATATTACTTTTTACACTGGATATTTGCAGCTTTTAACCTTTTCCTGTAGTTCAGCCTTTCAACAACCTAAAATTTAGAGGGTTTCTGAATACTTTTTTTTTTTATTTAATAATGACATATTCAGAGAGCCATTTTTTTATTTAATAATGCCATTTTCAGAACCCAACACATGCAGAAAAAGCATCCATAACTTTCTGGATAACCTTAAAGTTATAAACTTAAATTGACATATTGCAAACATTATTACGTCCCATTTCATCTTTTTCTGCTGATTTCAAAGAAAAGCTGAATTCAGTAACACAAGCAATTACATGATGCCCAATCTTTCTCGTGTTGTCTATGCCATTTCTTGTTTTTCCAAACAACATTCTATAAATTGCAGAATTACAGATCTTCTTATTACCACAAACAAATTTTTCACAAAGAATTTTTTCTCATGTCTGTGGGAAATGGAAAAAAAAAAAAAAGTCTGTTCTATAAAGATTTTCTCTTATAAAAGGAGTTAGAATAAAAGAATAAATGTGCAGTCTAGGTGAAGATCAGCTCCACCTTTTACTGTATTATTGATTAAATAAGTAAGAAAATATCCCAAATTATTTTTTTTTTCATTTAACAAAGTACCATAAAATGTCTAGCCTATCCTCAAATAATTTCTCAATCTTTTTTGCATCTGCTGTTCTTAATGCCCTCATTTTATATTTGATAGTTTCTAGGCCTTAGTTTAGAAAAAGCTTTGACACAGAGGTTTGTGATCATGAGACATTTTATTCAGCTCAGTAGCTGAGTGTTTTGCTTTCTTACCATGTTTACTTTATTTTATGTTCTGACAAATTTAATACAGGAATAAAAGGGTCCCATTATGACTAAAACAAAGACCACAACTCCAGAGCTAACATTTTACTATACAAAGAAACAGAGACAAAACAAGGAAATAGATGTAATGGACCTTCACAATGTAATGGTGCTCAAGGACACAGTCAAGTCCTCAATTCAACAGGACATGTGAGCATATTATCTGTGATTTTATGAGCCATCTCAGTGACAAGAGGCTATATTGTATTTCAAGGTGTTTAAGTATATGTTGAATCAAAATGTGATGTATGCTCAATTACCAGTGTAAAATATATATCGTAAATATTTTGCAGAAGCTGGACAAAAAGGGTCTTTAAATTGGAGCATCAGGTCCCAGCGAACTCTTAATCCAGAAAGGGCCTGAGAAACTGGAACAGGTTGCCCAGAGAGGTTGTAGATGGCCCATCCCCTGAAACATTCAAGGTTAGGATGGACAGAGCTCTGAGCAACCTGATCTAGTTGAAGATGTCCCTGCTCGTTGGAGGCGGGCTGGACTAGATGACCCATAAAGGTCCCTCCCAACCCAAAATATTCTGTGATTCTATGATTCCAGGGGTGGTCCTGGCCCATACTTTAGGTCTGGCCCTATATCAAGACATTCCAGGAAAAGATAGAAGAATGCAAAAGCTGATGAATCATTAGTGACCCAAAGCAACCACAAGTGGCAATGCTCCTCTTAAAGTACCCTTTGCTTTCCTGCTATCACCTCCCCATCCCACCCCATATACAGTCACTCACTCTCTAACTCAGACTGCAGCCAAATGACACAACTTGTAACATCTCTGTCACAGTTAAAATTTGTATTTTTCATCATTCCTAACATTTTTGTTTCCCGAATTTACCTTAATGTATTGTGGTGGATTGCTTTTAATCTAGTAAGCCCGTTTTACATCCACTGACGCTACTACAATTCTACATATGCAAGGAAAGAACAGGCCCTGCACAGGCTAACTCACCCTGGTTGAGTGTCGTCGGTCACACAATGGTACGTAAAAGTTCCAAACATTTGCACTCCCAAGATCCCATACAGCAGAAGAAAGAACAGAAGAAAAATGGAAACACTCCAGATTTGCTCTCCAGAACGCCTGGGTAAAGAAGATAAACACAACTCTGAATGCACAGGCAATGTGAAGCCTTCTCTGAAAATCTCTAGAATAGAAAATATGCTCATACAAAGAAAGTAGTATTTCGTCCTGCAGAAAAATTGTCCTTAAAACTGTACTTTTGCTCTGCGCAAAAAGAAAAGGGGAAAATTACTTTTTCTAAACCCCTAAGTTAGGGTAATTAAACCATCTGTAAGCTGTAAAGAATGGAACAAAAATGCCCAAATAAAATGCATAAAGTCTAGCTTTTGTAAAATAGTATTTAATGACTTATACAGACAAGATATGGTGATGAATAAAGGTTATACCAAATAAAGACAAAAAAAAAACCTCCTTCACATTACCGTTACACTTTTTGCCAGGACATGCTCTACCAATCACAATTATGCGTGTTTGCTTGCAAACAGGCATCTCTGTATACACACCAGTACATGTACACTTGTAACTGTAATGGTTAGGGTATGTGTTCATGTACTTTTATTTACAAATATTACCCTACTAAGGGTATTCAACTTGATTATTAAATGGTGATATTAATGGAACAGAATTTACTGCCATTGGTTGCAAATTGCTGGCTACAGTTATTAGCAAAGTGCTTTAAAATGTGTTTAAATATTTGAAAGTTTCGATCATTTTCTCTACAACTTGATTATTCCTTAAAAATGGAAAACAGCAAGAATTTTTTGGCCAGAACTAAAACTCAGGAGGAAAATGCCCATTAAGCATGAAGGGTCATTGATTTACTGCATAGTCAGTCTTCTGTGAGCCCCTGGTGGTCTAGTGGTTAAGGACACGGCGCTGTCTCCGCCGAGGCCCGGGTTCAATTCCCGGTCAGGGCCACTCCCCGGGCAGATGGAGCTCGTTAGCCCTGTAAGGCAATCCATCTACATCCTGAGGACCTCGCTGCCACCGTCCAAGCTCGCTTGGCCCCGGCAGATGAACCTCAGGATTAAAGGGTGGGCTCAGTTCCGCGCACACTGTGTCTCACGTAAAAAATCCAATGCGCAGGCTGGACGGTGTAAAGACCTTCCCCGGTTCTTTTTTCGTGAAGACTGGCCACTACTAGTCAGTCTTCTAAGCCAAAACTGAAATATTCGCTATTACCTGAAGCACAACAGCCTTACTTACTTCAAAATATTTGTTATCCTAGTTCTTGGCAGCTCAAAACGGAAATATATCCGGAATGCTCGAATCATAATGAGTGGTCGTGGAATCCGTAACATGCCCCAAGGTGACATTTGGTCAACTATTTCAGCAATTTCAAACACCTACAAAGAAAAGAATCAGTACTTTGTCTTGATGACTCTGTCTTATGCCTGTGTTCATTTATAGAACTTTCAAAAGTATGAATACTACATATGGTTTTTATTTTAATTTTCAGTCTTCTCTTGGTTTATTTTATGGCTCATTTTAACTACTTTTTTTAAAAGAAAAGTCTTTCTAAATACTTTAATCTATTGCTAAGTTATCCTAATGAGCCTCCAAAAATATACTCTGCCCATGCTCATAATGCCTCAGTCTCAAACAACTCAAGAAGATTCTGCAAGCCTGTGTTAGTTGCCTATTTCTGTGCTAGTCCTACCCTGTAAGTTTCCCACAACTTTGTTAGAAGTGATTCATATTTCCAAATATGAAAATCAGTATCTGTTAATGTTGCATAGCACTAAGGTTTTTACTATGATATAAAAATACATATACCCAGATTGCCTTATGAATTGCAACATGCTTATAAATTCTCCACTTAATTCCAAGTGCATGACATAACTGTATCTTTTCCTCCTGGACTCCAATTATGACACAAATTTCAGCCAAGACACAGAATGGGGAACCATTTCCTCAATACATTGATAAGTTATGCACTCCATAAAGAGTGTTCACCCTGATTGGGTGAAAATGTCATGTTTTAATCCTTGTCTATCACTCCCTTAGAGTAACTACTTTATTTAATGTTTACTCAAAGTACTAAGAAAATGGAGGGGGAAGCTGGACATGCGTAAACTGGGTAATCTACAGTGCTTGTCTGTAATGATCGACCTTCATTCTGCCTGTGTACAAGATGTACCAAAGTCTGACCTATGTAAAAAACATTTGTCAGAGCGTATACATGCCTAACAGCAATCACTACAGAACTTTTATAATCCTTAGGCTATTGCAGGTCAAATGTCAGTCTTCAACCTTTTCTTACCCAAAAAACTGCCTAAGGTTAAGGATTGATTGATATGCAGGACACAATTTGACCTATACCTTAACACCGTACTTTTTCACAACATGTCCAGGATTCCTTCTTTACAAAAATTTATCAAACTATTTCCAAATGTGGGGTTTGTTGTTTGTTTTTTTTTTTTTCTCATTGTGCTTTAACTTGAATTTTGGAAAATGTTTTGTTAGTTGTGAGCAATCAATCTTATATGAAACCACTCCACTCACCATATCAATACACTTACAGCACGGGAAACATTTACCATCAGAATCATTCTCCCCTTAGGTGCCTAAGCTAGTCACCATGGCATCCTAGTAGACTGAGTGGAAGGAAATGAGCACAACTGTCATATGGAGTAAGGGATAAATGGTTCTCTGAAGATCATTCCTTCTCCTTTTGACCATGCAGAGAGTTTATGGTAACAAGCTTCAGATTAAATAAGAAAAATTAATCAAGATAAATTCTACTACTAATGCAGATATGCTGCAATGTGCAATTACGGAGCTATTGAATTCAGCACGTTTTTTTAAAGCCAATTTGAGACAAGTACAACTGTACTTCCACAACTCACAATTATTTGGTTGTGCCATGTATTTTTCACAATTAAGGAAACATTAATTGAAAAAAAGAAGTGAAATGATTACCTGTAAAACCAGCGACACCCAAAGACAAAAGACCATGAATCCATCAAACACACACCAACGATCCTTTACATAGGAGCTATCACCCTACATGAAAGAAAAGCTAAGAGGTTAATTGTTCCTTTACTGTTAGGATTTACAAATATCATAAACAAGAGTTTTTGGAAGAAGAAGTCTTCCCTGTGGCCTTTTAGAATGCTACTTTTGAAAGACTTCAAGTCTAGTACCTGGATTAGAATGTGCTGGAAACATATATACATATCTTCTGGGTGAATAAATGTCAGCTTACTCTTGTGTAGTACTTCTCCTTAGTTTATGTCAAAGAGAACTTACAAAACAGTCTGCTATTTAGACTTTGATGTAAACAAAAAACACACAAAAAATTAACACTGATCTTATTTTTCCATTGTATTGCCCATTACAAAATTCTCACACAGGAAGATAAGTGTAAAATGGTAGCAATCTAGTATTGTGCTTTTCCCTTATTTCAGTACTGTTCAACAGCTTCAATTAAATCGGTATCATTTTACATTCATTTTTTCATAAGTTTTCAATCATTTTTCATGCCCTAGAGAAGTCTTGCTATCTCAAAAACACTTAACAGTAACCACTGAAACACCATCTGAACACGGTTTTGGTGACAGTCCAATCCAAAGATCACTCCTAAAAGGCAGCATGGAGAATTCAGCATCCAATTTCCTCTATACTGTACGATTCTCAATCTCTGTTCCAGTTTGCATGCTTCAATATCCTCGTGTTTCACACCATTCCTGACATGCAACACAGGTCCTCCACTGCAAGCTATAACAACACTTCCTGGCTGGGATGCTAACACCTGATACTTCAAAAGCTGAATCAAAAACCACCTACATTTATTAGGGGGTTTTGATCACAGTTGAGTGTGAGTTTTGTGTACCCCATGGAGCACAGAGGAAGTTGGAGACCAAATGCATACAGATAGATGCAGCTTGTTTAAAGGGAGACTAGGTAAAAATAGACCTAAGGAAAGTAGATATCACACTTTCATGCAAAATCATATGCAGAGACAATGACAGTGCATCTCAGGGCACAAAATCACCCCTTCCAAATGAGGTTTCTCACAACAGATTCAATACAGCCTTCCCTGCCTTATACACTCCCTGGTTCCTTTTCTGTTCAGAGATCTTACGGGTACAAAGTACAATCCACTTTTCACAGGTATAACTGGGGAAAAAATTCTTGTCGTGTCTCAAGAATCTTGAAGACATTATTGGACTTTGGCTTTTTATGTGATTCCTGGCTTTATATACATTTTTCCTTATCTCAGGGATAGTTATTTCAGTATTTGTTTTTAAATGTCTCAGCATTTTCATTGATTCTGTAAGCACAGACAAGACGTTTTGTTTTAATCTAATATTTTCAATGGCATACACTATCCTAAAAATTATTTATCATTCCTTGCAGTAGGTGACAGCATGATATATTGTGTAAAGAGACAAACTATGTTTGGCTTGGTTTTTTTTAAATTTATTTCAGTTGCAAAAATTCTTCAGGGCAGAAGTGAACACAGGATATCAGGAAAATAAAGCAAGTGATTTTCAAGTCAGAAATAAGGGACAGAGAGCTTCAACACTACTTTCAAATTAGGATTTTCTAACACATAAGGAGGTTAAAGTTCTCAATTCAAGACTTAAGAGGAGGAAGACTGCAAATTTGGGAAGCAACAGAACAGGAAATTTTGCAACATTTTTACCTTCCTAGAGAAAGTCGACTTAGTTCCCCGAGCAAACTCTGAGCTAATCAGTAACTGTTCGCTCAGGGCTGAGAGAACTCAGATGTTTAGTGGTTATGTTCAGTAACTGTGAAGCAGATTCATGTTATTTCTCTGCATAAAGCAGCTACCCACACCCTAAATCTCTTACTCCTCTCTCCTTTGCCATTCTCTGTTAGTGAACAAATCTCCAGTGAGATTTGTATCAACATGCAACTTGAGTCTTTCGATTGTGGATCTGAACAAAAATGCTGATTGGTCTTTCTCTTGCTGAAGAATTCTTTGAAACTTACATTTCCTCTCTTAAGCACCCTTTGTCTAAAGCAAAAAGTCTTCCCTGAGTTGTGTCATACAGATCTGAGCATGAACTTGTGAAGGAGTTCTTATATTCACACTCTTCTGAATAACCCACCAAGTTCTCACTGAAAGCCAAATCTTTTTTTAGAAACTGCTTTTTCTTTCCACAATAGCTGAGGTATAATTGAAACAGCTTTGCTGTTTTCTCCTTACAGAAGAAGATGTCATGACCCTTTCCATTCTTCTCACCTGTTAAGCTGCTGCACTACCTCCCTTCTCCCACTGTCACACCAGGCCAGTTTCCACCACTACATCCTCCCAGTAAGGGAAGCTTTCAGTGGATCACTCACACAAACTTTGGGTACCTGAATTACACCTGCAGAAACTACTTGTTTTGTGGGGGGGACCCCTGGCCCTTTCTATTTTGCATGTAGGGAGGTCTGGGCTAAGTCCTTTTAATGTTATTTGTCTGACAGTGGATGTCAAATCTTCATTTGCGAAGCCTAGCCAAGATGATGATGAGGATGATGATGATGGATGTGGTAGGGAATCTTTGATGCATTTTACTGTGTATTGCCTTATTAGATGTTAGTTTTCGGGAGCATTTTTAAGGCAGAACCCCATTCTGCTTAATGGAAAAATCAGAATATTTGTGCTACTTCTATGAAAAATCTAATTCTGGCTAAACAGAGGCTATATACTAATAGCAATTAACAGTGAGTTTCATTCATGTTTGAAAAAAAAAAAAAAGGGCTGAAATACCACACTCACGGCCAATGGCAGCTTGTTCTTAGACTTGGAAAGGAATACAGATAAATGACATTTAAACACCTCTGGTGACATCTTACCTAGAATATCTGAAGTATTGCAATGTGTTAACTGCACACCCGTTTTTTATCATGTCTGCTGAAATTGGAGAATTACTGATGAAGTTTCATTTAGTATTTTTTTTGTGAATGCACTATTCCAGAAGATGAAGAAATAGTACTGTAGACTAAAAGCCTTGTGCAGAGACTAATCACAACCTCTTAAAGTCATTAAAGTTGCTGACTTCCTAATGCCTACAGTGGATACTGGATTCTTAATGTGCAAGTCCTGAAACCTTCTCCAGGAACATAACTTATAGTCTATCCAGACAACAAAATCATTTCCTCCTGACAGAGCACTGGATGCCACTCCACTTAGTGGTCATGAATAAGGACATGGGACAGCCTTTGGAAGGCTTTTGCACACTAAACGTTTGCACGTTCTTAATGCCTCTCTCAGACAACCTAAGGAACAGTGATCAAACTCAGTGGACTAACTAGCAGATGTTAAAAACAAAGCATTTTAAGACACTTTAAAACAACCTGAAATCCAAAGCAGCAATAGTCCTTAGCGGTTAGATGAATCAATCTGTTCTTTGTTAATTACAGGTCTACTCACTATTTTGTAACACCCTTCCTAATCTTTTTCCTCAGCATTTGTTTACAACAGGTCAGCATCACTGTTAGCTAGTACACAACCATGAAAATGGATGTCTTGGTAAACAGCACGATTGAAAGTCTGCCTTTTTCTTAGAGATGCTAATCTGAATCAATCTGAAATTTGACATCCCAAAAGAACAGGCAAACTTGACATAATGAGTTGTAATTTAAATATTCTGTGTTCTCTAAGAACGTAATATTCTGTGGCAATGTTGCAATAAGTAAGGGAGAATACCAGGAGTTCAGAATAAGAACTTAGTATTTACCTAATCAAAAAAAGATCAACAAATAAATTTCCTCCCTTCTCCCTATGTTCTCCTTATCTCACACCAGGTTTTTGCCTAATTTTAGATCATTTCTGCTCTGCTTATCTCTTAACATTTCAGGAATACCTTGGGATGAACAGCAAATCCCTGCAAGTGAACAGTCTCCCCTGCTTCCCTGTTTGCATTCAGGAACTTCTGTTTTTCCTTCATCCCTGACTACAACTTCTTCTCCGAATCCTTCACTCCTACATACACAGAAGGTATGTATCATCTACCTAGTCACATCATATGTATACATATCTTATGTTTCTGGCTCAATTTCAAACTTTCCCAGTTTCCTTAAAAATTTGCAGTTTACAGGTTAGTAGCAGGATGATGTGGGCAATCCAGTCCAGCCCCTGACCCAACAAACACTTTTAATATTTTCCTCACACAGAAAAGAGGATGAATACATACAGCCTAATCAAGAAGAAAAGCTGCCTCTGAATTCTGTTCTAATTCTCCTCTTACATCCCCCAAAATAAAACTATTTCACAAATGCCCTCATGTGTCAAACCCTAGCAGGAAACAAAGGAAACTGTGGATTGCTTAGCTAAGATCACTATAATAACCAAAGAAAGACTGGCATATTTTAAAATCGATGTTCGCCACCAGATTGGCCCTGTACAACAGTGATAGTATCACTTCAAAATAAACCAACATATATTTTCTTAAAAAGTCTGTATTAGGGAGAAGAAAGAAACAATATGTGTGGGAAGGATGACACAATTTTTCATTTTCGGTATGTCTTCTTTATCACAAAGTGTCTTCATTCATAAAGAAGGAACTTACTTAAAATGTATTCACATAACAGTAATTGATTTGAAACAGCCAATGGAATTAGAAGTGCTGTGTAAAGCTTAATTCCGAGTGGCTACAGTGGATGTAATATCACTTTATCATCACTGAGTTAAGTAAGTTCCATTTGTGACTACTCATGCATTGTACTGAACTGTTCTACCATCAGATGCTTCCAAGTAACGCATCACATCCTGAATAGTTTATCATCATTTAATATCACATAGAATAAAATATTGAGGCTAATGTATTCTACATTAGGAAAACATTGAAAAAATCATTTGATATTACAGCCAAAAAAATGAAATTATTCTATTTATAAATAATAAAATGAAAGACAGCTCTTCCTGGTCCTTTGGGTTAGAAAGCCTGTTACAGACACAAAACACACACCATTTCAATCTATCATCATAAAAACCCCCTATAATCACCATAATCACTATAGAACCACTACTTCATCCTTTGCAATTA